ATCAAATCAACCTTGAATGAAAGTGGATTAAATTCACCAATCAAAAGATAGACCTTTTGAATGAATTAAAAAAGAACCCCAGACAACAAAACAGCAAAACTAAAACATGATCCAATTACATGTTGTCTACAAGAAACTTACATCACTGGCCAAGTACAGGTAGACTAAATGAACGACTGGAAAATAATATACCATGCAAATAGAAATCAAAAGCAAGCACATGCATCTCTGTTCACACTAGATAAAGCAGATTGTAAAGTATTAAAAATAATAAAATTACACATACAATGTCATTTTGAATTGATAAAAGAATCAATTCAATAAGAAGATGTAACAACTGTAAATATACACACACTCAACATTGGACCACCAACATAAATGTAGAAATACTATATTTAAATTGAGGGACCCATTATAATACAACAATTCTTGGGGAATTCAACAATTCCTCAGTGAACAGATCATAAAGAAAGAAAACTAACAAAGAAACATCTGTGATGGACCATACTATATGTTGGAGCCAGCACTGGGACCTTGCCTGTGTGAGTTGGTATCTGGCCTTGTGAGAAAGCACCAAGGAACTGAGGCAAAGGCCTCAGTACCAGACTGTTCCTGTGTGATTTGGTATCTAGCCTTATGAGAAAGCTCCAAAGAACTGAGACAAAAGTCTCAGAACCAGACATCCAGAAAAACAACAGTGCTCAAGGATTCCCAGATGGCTTTGTGTCCTTAAGATGTAAATAAGAAGGTTATGCTGACCATGTGCTTCTCCTGTTTCTCTGTTCCCGTTTTAAAGGAGACATAACAAAGAGTTAATTTTAGCTGTGCTTCCCTGTGCTAATGTAACCGTGACACGTAATACTTGGCATGCTTTTTCTGACCAAATGTTCTCTGTGAAAAAAGGAGTTTATAAAAAGCAGAAGTGATATCCATTAAAGGCGCTATGATGGATAGCAAGACTCAGTAGTCCCCTCATCTTTTACCGCTCTGGTCACCCAGGTCCAGCTGATAAATGGCAACAGTATGGAGCAAATGGACCTAAGAGATATCTGTAGAACATCCAACAGCATCAGAATACGTATAATTCCCACCAGAACATTGGATATTCTCTAGAATATATAATATATTTTCCCAAAATCAAGTCTCAATGAATTAAAAAATTGAAATCATGTCATGTATCCTCTCAGACCACAATAGAATTGTAAATAACAATAATAATGGAAAATGTATACTTTGAAATTGAAAAACATGCTCTAAAATGACCAATGGGACACTGAAGAAAGTAAATTAAATTAAAAATTCTTGAAATGAATGAAAATGAAACCACAAAATATCAAAATCTGTGTGATACAGTAAAAGCAGTGCTAAGAGGGAATTTTATAGCAATGAATGTGTTTTGTAAAAATAAGAAGGATTTCACAGTAGCTAAATTGTGGAATCAGCCTAGTTTTCCACCAAAGGATGAATGGATAAAGCAAATGTGATATGTATACAAAATGGAGTATACTCAGCCATTGAGAAGAATAAAGTTTTGTCATTTGCTGGAAAATAGATGGGATTAGTGACCAGGATTTTAAGTGAAATAAGTCATTCTCACAAAGAAAAATATTGCTTGGCATACCTCATTTGTGGAAGTTAGCAGAAAAAACCCAAAACCATGTTCATGAAAATAGAGGGGAAACCACTAGAGAAATGTGGAAAACAGGGAGGGAGGAAGAGAGCTAAGACAGAGCAATGGAGGTATAAATATTGTCCAAGTACTGAGTGTGCATGTAAAGAAATGTCATAACAACACTGCTTCCTATATACAATTAATATACACCAATAAAAACTACATTGAGATTCCTTCTCTCTCCATTCAGAATGGCTATCATCAAGAAAACAAAACAAAACAAAACAATAAATGCAGGCTGGCCAAGATGCAGGAAAATGGAACTCTTAAACACAGTTGGTAGAAGTGTACATTAATTTAGCCACTATGAAAATCAGTACAGAAGTTCTAAAAAAACTAAAAAATAAAACTACCATTGATCCAGCTGTACCATTCCTAGGTACATACCTGAAGGAATCAAAGTCATCATACAATAGAGATATCTGCATACCCATCATTATTGGCACTTTTCACAATAGCTAAGTTATGGAATAAGTCTAGGTATCTATCAATTTATGAATGAATAAAGACAATGTGGCATATATAATATACAATGATGTATTATTTAGTCATAAAGAAGAACAAAATTATGCTGCTGGCCAGAAAATTGACAGAACCATAGAATATCATGTTAAGCACAACAAGCCAGACTCATAAAGCCAAGTATTGCATGTTCTCTCATAAGTGGAAGCAGGAAAACACCAACCAGAACATAGAATAGGTTATTTGAGATTTTTCCTTCTTCTAGGATATGGGTTCTCATAGCTTTAAAATTTCCTCTTAGCCCTGCCTTTACTCTATCCCAAAGATCTGGAAATTGTGTTTTCATTTTCATTTGATTCTAGGAATTTTTTATTTGCCCTCCCCACTTATTTCTTTTATGAACACTGTATTGTTCAATTTCCATTTGTTTGAGTATTTTCTGTAGTTTCTTTTGCCATTGACTTCTAATATTATTCCATTATAGTCTAATAAAAAAGAGGAAGCTATTTCAACTTCTTTATATTCATTAAACTTGTCCTAAAATGTGATCTATTTGGAGAAAGTTCCAAGGGCTCTTGAGAAGAATGTGTATTGTCCAGCTGTGGGATGAAATATTCTTTAGACACCTATTAACTCTGTTTGGTCAATAGTGCTACTTAATTTTGAAAATTTTTGTTGATTTTTTTTGTCTGGAAGACCTACCTACTGGTGATAGTGGGATATTACCATTGTATTGGAGTATATATGTGCTTTTTTTGTCCAGTAGTGTTTATGAGATTTGTGGCACTGATAGTTGATACAAATACATTTAAAATTATTATTTCATCTTGATGGATTGTTCATTTTATTAACATGTAAACACGTCTGCATTATTGTTATTATTTATTTATTTATTAACTCAATTTTTCAGTACTGAAGATGAATCCAGGACCTTGTGAATGCTAGCCAGTCTCTGTCTTTAAAAAGATCTGTCTGGATTGTTCCTTCCCCAACTGAAAATATTGTATTTCTCAATGTATTAGACAAAGCTGGAGAAATGATGTCTTGAGGAGGTGTTTGATACTATTTAACATTAATTTTTTTTCCATAAGCACATGTGTGTATATACCAAAAAACCATTTTTGTACAATTAAGTACAACCAGCTAGAAATTAGTCGAGTTTTAAAGTTAATTAAAACTTTTTATAAACTAAATTCTCTGAAGTCCAATGTTTTTGACCCTGGACTAGCTCTAGCTGATCTGTTATTTTTTTTTTTACAAAGTATATTGATTACTGGATGAGAAAGTTATTTCTCACAATTCTGGAAGCTGGAGTTCTAGATAAGTCATCAGGGAATTGGTGTCTGGTAAGGACCCAGTCTCAAATTCAAAGATGTAGCCTTATGGCTGGATCCTTTGTAAGGGAGTAGCACTGGGTTCTCATAAGAGAAATGGCGAAAGTTCACTCAGGGCAAACTCTTTTGTCAAGCATAATTCAAATGGGCCTTAATCCCATTGAGGAGGGGGATGCACTCATGGACTAACCACCTTTTGTTCATTTCTCTCTTAATAAAATCAACTTGGACATTTTGAGTCAACATATGAATTTTGGATGGGCACATAAAAATGTAGAGTGTGAATCCTAGAACTAAATTTCAGCACTTTTCTCAGAATACTTATCTTTTGATGATAAAAATTTTGAGCATCAGTTGCACCCCAAATTTAAATAAAAAAATAATAACTGAAGTAATCAAGTTGCTTTTCATTCCAGAAATGCAAATTATTTCTTTCCGATACTGATCCTTCACGATTCAAAAGGCTTTAGTGAAGGTTATGCACAAAATATTGCCAGGTTGCCTGTCATTAATGTCACTGTTCTCTCACTGATTCAGAAGACTCATGACATTTAAAAGGGATGTTAAGAAACTTACCTCTTTATTCTATTCATTTTAATATTTAAATATAAATTCTTTAATTAAGCATATAAAACATTGTGCACTTTTTCTTCAAACAAGTATTAAAATGCATTTTGAGTCATCATTTTGATTTTATTTTTGGTGGTATGGATTTAAATTTATAGCCTCACTCTTGTTAGGCATGCATGCTACTTCTTGAGCCATACCTCCAGTCCTTTGTTATTTAGTTTATTTTTCATATAGGATTCCTTACTTTTCCCCAAGGCCAGCTTCAAACCTCTATCTGCCTACTGTGTAGGTGGGATTATAGTAGTGTACCACCACATCCAGCTTGTTTTTAGAAATAGGGTCTCACTTTTTTGCCTGGATTTCCCTTGAACCATGATTTTTGCAACTCTGCTTCCTGCATACTCATGTGTATCACCATGCACAACCCTTATGATGCATTAAAATTTATATCTTTATTAGTTGACCTTGGTCAAGGTATGATTTCATGGTTCCTTAAATGCATGGAATGCTTCAGATGGACTTCATCCAGTTATGCATACAGACTTCATACAAACTTGCAAACAATGATGAAATTCCTTCAGTGACATTCTTAGGAGACACACTGATGAATGCTCACCATCCTGTTTTTACGATTGTCTTACATTATTCAACTTACATTTATAATTTTATTATGAGATTTTAAACTATGCAATACAGTTACTATTTCAGCATGAAGGAGCCAGAATAGAACTATATTAATATATTTCTAAAAAAGTGATCTCTAGAAAAGTGTTCTCATACTGGTACATATTAACTGAACATCATCCTTGCTTAACATGATTATAAGGCATGTAAGAAATACTACGTGTTTTGCAAGAAATTGTATAACATGAGATTGGATTATGAGATAAGAATGTGTTATTAAGGAAAACCTTTAAGCCTACTCTAATTGTTAAGTAAGCTGGTTTGATGTTTACCAGCTGTCATTTGGAACTGAAAATGCTCCTTACTAGGTTGCCTAATGCCCCCTTCACATCCCTATTCCTCAGGGTGTAGATGAAGGGGTTGAGTGTAGGAGTCACCACTCCATAGAAGAGGGCCATGAACTTGGGCTGGTCCCTTGTGATGGAGGAGGGGGGCTGGAGGTACATGCTGATAGCTGGGCCATAAAATAAGGAAACTACAATGAGATGAGAGGAACAAGTTCCAAAGGCCTTTTTCCTTCCTTCAATAGATTTGATTTTAAGTACAGCATGTCCAATACTAGCATAGGAAGCAAGAATTAAGCACAGGGGAAAACCTGTTATAAAAATGCATACCACAGATAGTGCGAGCTCATTAGTCACCTTTTCACCACAGGCTGTTTTTATCATGACTGGAATCTCACACAACAAGTGATCAAGTTTATTGATGCCACACAATGGCAACTGTAATGTAACAGTGGCCTCTGAGACAGCATAGGTCATTCCACACAGCCACACAATGGACACTAATAGGATGCAGATGCGCTGATTCATAATGAGATTGTAGTGCAGAGGTCTGCAGATGGCCACATAGCGGTCAAAAGACATAATGGCCAAAAGAAGACACTCTGCAGCCCCCATTGCACTGAATAAATAAAGCTGAAGTACACACCCCATGAAACTGATGGTCTTCTTAGAGCTTCCCAGGTTAAACAGCATTTGAGGGACAATACTTGTGGTGTAACACATGTCCAAAAAAGAGAGGTTGGTGAGAAAGAAGTACATGGGGCTGTGGAGACAGGGGCCTAACTTGGACACCAGGATGATGGTGATGTTTCCCATCAAGGCCACGGGGTATGTGATCAGAAGAATGATGAATACAGGAGGCTCTAGCCAAGGATGGTTAGCAAAGCCTAGTAGGATGAACTCTTCAGGGTGGCTCTCGTTAATAAGCACTGTCTTCATTTTGTTTTATCTATAGTAGGGAAGTGGAAAACAGAAAGAGTCATGAGGAGTGATCACACATTATTATGCCTTGGTTTTTCATGGATAAAAAATAGGGCACAGAATATTTTGGGAAATAATACAAGGATTCATGCACCCTGTGGCCCAATTCTTTTCATGATACTATAAAGAAAAATTGTTTACTTTCAAAAATTAACATCACTATTATGAAACTAAATTTGTTCTTGTTTTTAACAATAAGTCTGTCTCCCTGAATTCTGATTAGCATCTAATGAAAAGTAGAGTTATTGTGTTTTGAACATGTGAAAATATTGCTTTTCACACTTTAGCTGTCATAAAATTCAATAGAGTGGGCTGCTTAAATGAATATTAGTTTTTCTCTCAAGGCATCTGACAGAATAGGTGTGACATGGTGCTAAGGAACCATGTGGTTCATTTTGAGAAGCAATGTTACAAGACATTACTGAAATAGTTAGAAGAGTTATAATAACAGGGGAAATAGGAGAAATCCTGGAGCTATAAGGATTATCAAAGCCCTGTCTAGCCCCAATTGTTCAGAGCGGTAATTATATCATCTCCTTGGGGAGTAAGAATTCTTTGATATTAAACAATCTACCTGAGCTATTTGGAATTAAGGAAGAAATTTAAATACTTTAAACATAATTTTCTCCATTATATATTGAGGCAGTTGAGCTATGATATAGGTTTCTTCATGCTCCTGAATTTAATTTTTTTTTTCTCTTTGCAGGTTCCTATAGTTTTCTTTTTTTTTTTCTTTTTCTTTTATTAGTCATATGTGCATACAAGGCTTGGTTCATTTCTCCCCCCTGCATTATGTAATTTTTCTTGCATAACTAATTAGTTCAAACTTTGGATATTTGATCTTTTATGTTAAATTTGAGGTGATTCATGAATATTGTAGGAATTTTCCTGTATATTAAATATAGGTCTTATCATCCTGATTTTATATGAGTTTTGACAGTTACTAATGACTGACTGATTACATACAGTTTACACATACATTGTCAAACTCCAGGTACCTGCTACCAGGAGAAATACCAATATCTCTATTACGTCCAGAAAGTTATTCAGACCCACAAGCTATTTTACCTTTTCAGGGTATCATTTTCCTTTGTTTTCCATCTCAAGGCACATTTGAAGCAATGAAATTCAATAGTTGAATAAAGCAGAACTTGGGAAATTAAATGAGGTGATGAAGGTTTTTGATTATATTGTTCCAAACCTTCATTAGTAGGCTTCTTTCATAAAATCCACATCTTCTGTAAGATAGGCAGTATTCAAATGGAGAGTTAAGATAGTAACCCAGTGACACACTTCTGAGTTACTGTGTAAGTCATATGCATTCTTATGCTTCCAAAGCATAATTTTGATATTCTGTTTTTCATTAACGCCTCAAAATCAGCCTGTGACATGTCAGAGCTATGATGTGAATGTTACTCTTTGATTATAGACTATTCAAGACCAGAAAGTTATAATAACAATAATAATTTCAACTAATCCTTAATGAGCCCTGTTTGCCAAACATTAGAATAATCTTTCCTCCATTAAATCAGTTACTACCCACTTCAAAACCAATGGTCAAGGAAATTTTGGAATACATATTTTACTATGTTGCTAATTATTCATTTCTATAGTCTGCTAGTAACAGAATGTTCTAAAGACGTGAATAAGGTAGTCAGATATTGAGACTATAAATTCAGAGTTTCAAGATTCCACAGAAAGCACTCGTAAGTGAGTGATGTTTCCTGACTTAGGTGTGGACCCTCCACCTCATTTAGCTGATAGTTTGTGGTGCTCAGAATAGAACCCAGAGCCTTCTGCATGCTAGGGGATCACATTTAGCTGATATTATGCAAGATGCTATCTTAGCACAACATGAGTTTTGGAGCACATTTTAGCCTACAATTTAATGGTGAAAATTATGTTGTAATAGAATCTGAAATAATCATGGTATAAATTGTATTCTAAATATAAACATTTTAATCTACACATGTCATTTTGTAATTTAAACTATACCTATAGCTGTAGTTGATACACTATACTCAACTTTTATGTTTTCTTCTGTGAACCACCCTCAACATTTTAAAGAGTGACTCAAGATTTGATACTGTTATGAATTGTTCACAACTATATTCCCCTATCTCTAAACACAGCACGAACTCCAGTATTATTTCAGCAGCTTTATTAAATTTGTAGAGTTTTTAACTTTGCTTCTTTTTAGTTACTCTGTTAAATGTAGATTGCTTTGTGAATGGCCATGATTCCTATCACAACACAAACCTATTATACATTTTGTTATGGATCTAATAGATTTTTTTAACTATCCATGAATCAGGGAAGTCTCCTCCATTTACCAAAATGGAATCAAATCTCTTTCTGGGCAACAGTAGAACCTAAGTTTTGTAAAGTAAAAAAGGAAATAGAACAATTTAAAAATAACTGATTGGATGACATCAATTTATTTAAGGGTTTTGTGTGTGTGTGTGTGTGTGTGTGTGTGTGTGTTATTAAATCAGAGAGGATTTCCTAATTTGTGCCATCTCAGGTGACATGACTCTTCTGGTTTAAGGAAAATCTCATCTATTTTGAGATCTGTCTGTTTTTAAAACTTCAGTTTGATTTTAAAACTTTCAGTTAGTATGACTGACTCTGTATGATCAGATCTGTTGGAGCCTACTTTAAGACAGGATTTCCCTTGAGGCACCACAACAATCATGCTTAATCTATGTGACTTACTGTAAAGTCTCCTAGGCTCTATAATTATGTCCTCTGGTCTCTTTTTACATGTCTTTCTCATGGTATTTCATTTCTTTTATTTACTGGTTTCCATGACTTTTTGATCTTCTACTTCCAGTGATTTCTTATCACTACTTCACTTCACAGGGATCTATTTATCCACAAATCTTTAAAGTTACTTTAATAAAGTTCCAAACCCTGTTTCTTTGATATTTCCTTATTATCTCCACTCACATTTCATCGCAGTATATCATAATGCTTCATTTTCATTGAATGCATTTTTTTTTACATTTACTACACTTAATTTTATGTAGTGCAGGGGTATAAGAAATAAAACTCATTTTATCTGATACCAAAACATCTGGAAAAATATGTGGTCAAGTAGACAGATGAAAAACTTGACCACCCATTAAAATGATTCATTCACATAATTGAATGAAGGCTTTATACTTCATTTAGGTATTTAATATGTCATACATAGTATTAATTAAAACTTAAGTGCTTTCAATGTTTTAAGTGAGAGTTTGAAAGAGATATTAGTTGAAAAGAGAAATCCAGTTCTTCCTAGAGCCATTGAACTAGTTTACATGGACTCCCTGGATTGAAGTGATCTCTGACTCGCATAAGTAAGTATATTAAGTTTGGGATCTACACATCCCAACATTCCATGAGAATGTGTGACTTATAAAAACAAGTACTTTACCTACCTTATTTTGGTAGCTATTCTTCAATAAAAAGGAATTTATTAGATTTTTTCATACCTCCAGAGAAGAATTAAGAAGCTATTGCTTAAATGAGTATAGTATTTAAGCATTTAACCTCAAAATTGTTAGTTTTTCAGTTGGTAAGGTGTGGAATAAAAGGGAAAACATGTTAGAAAAACAATAGTAGAAAATACACAGAATGCTTTGTGCATGAACTATTTGTATGCTATTTCTGAAACCTCTTGGGCATGGTTTTCAAATGGACCACTCATTTATCCTTATCCTAGTTTGAATTAACACAGAATATCCCTTGGGACAGAGAGCTTCGTGGAAATGCTTTTTATGCACAGTTATCTCATGAATTACATTGGGAATAAATCTCTTCTGTTGTTAAATGTGTTTTAAAATAAACTCATTTAATCTCCTGAGTCACTAAACACTTGTTATATTTATTAATATATTTATGTAAGAATGTATGGATGCACTTATTTTGTTATCGATGAATAATAATTTATGGGGTTATGGGGTACAATGTGATGCTTTTGTACATTTATAGATTGTGTATAGATCAGTTGAGAGTACGTAGGTTATCCATCATCTCAAACATCAATCTTTCTTATGATAAGTACATTTAAATTCTCTTCTAGCTATTTTGAATTATGTTACAATATTTTTAGCTACAATCATTCTCCATGTAATAGAACACAAACACTATTCCTTCTAATGACTATGATTGTAAATTTGAAGTTGGTTATATATTGTAGCTATTAATCCCTTGTTGGAAAAATAGTTTGGAAATATTTTCTTCTATAACTGTATTCACTTTGCTGATTATTTCCTTTGCTGTGCAGAAACTTTGCACACTGAAAGCAGTTTTATTCATCTATCTTTTCTTTTGTTGCCTGCACTTTTACATTCTTTTTTTTTCATATTCAACCAGTAAAAATATGGAATGCTTCACGAATTTGCGTGTCATCCTTGCACAGGGGCCATGCTAATCTTCTCTGTATCGTTCCAATTTTAGTATATGTGCTGCCGAAGCGAGCACCACTTTTACATTCTTGTTTAAAAAAATTCTTTCCCATTTTGGGCACCATTGGTGCACACCTGTAATCCTAGCTACTCAGGTGGCAGAGATCAGGCAGATTGCCATTCAAAGCCAGCCCTGGGCAAATAATTTGTGAGACCCTATCTTGAAAATACCCAACACACAAGTGGACTGGTGGAGTGGCTCAAGGGGTAGAGTGCCTGCTTACCAAGCAAGAGGACTTAAGTTACCAATGTCACATAGCCTGTTTCTCATATGTTTTCATCTGGTACTTTTAGAGTTTTTGTCTCTCCAATTAACTTTTTAATTCATTCGAGTTGATTTTTCATTTAAAATGAGAGAGATACATCTAGTCTCAGTCCTTAAATGCAGACATCCAGTTTTCCCAACACTATTTATCTATGGTGGGGTTTGATGCATGCGAGACAGGTGCTTTGTCAATTGACCCACACTCTCAGTCTTTTTACCTTAGTTGTTTTTCTGATAGGGTT